TTTAAATTATGAATTATAAACGTATGGATGCCAATTAAATCCATTTCACTTTTATATTAATCCCGTCTAGTGTTTCCTTATTTCCTCCCATACGCAGACAGTGTACGGACTAGCATTCTGTCCACTCCTGGCATTTTTAACAGCTTCGGCTATTTTTCTTACTCCTCATCTGAGGATATTTTTCCATTTATCTTCAGATAGAGTGGAGAGTGGGAGGGCGGGAGAGAGAGAGAGAGAGAGAGAGAGAGACATCGATGTGAGGGACACCTCAACTGGCTGCCTCCTGCATGACCCCGACCAGGGCCGGGGACTGAACCGCAACCAAGGTACGTGCCCTTGACCGGAATCGAACCCGAGCCTCATTGGTTCACAGGCCGACGCGCTAACCGCTGAGGCAAACTGGCCAGGGCCAGCTTTGGCTTTTCTGTGTCCATGATGTCATTTACTTTATTAGAAGCAGGTGCGACCATTATACTTTCCTCTGTGGATTCTAAACTTCATCGAGGCAGAGTGACCCTGTGCATGATGTTTTTACCTTAAATTCCACTTTGTCTGATATTACTATCCCCACTTACATCTTGCCCCTCTTGTGTAAAATGTGTCCTTACAAGGTTAAACACTTCCTGTCTGTCAGGAACTCCTCGGTTTTCTGGTCCAGAAAAGCCAGCTTCTGTTTCCCAGTGCTACCTGGGAGTTTTTCTTATTTTTCCATTCCTTCAATCAGTGCTTGAAACGAGAAGATCTGTATCTGTTTCCACTTTGTGGAGTTTCACTTTTAGATTTTTAAGCTAGACTGTTCAGTCTTATTTTCTCTCATTTTATTCCAATTATCACTGTCCCATTTCCGGGTGCTCACTATAACCGAGCACGATCTTCAGTTCTCTAGTGGGGGGAAGCCGAGTACTTCCAGCATCACCACCACCGGTGCCACGAGCCACCGCCCGTGTTAGGAAAATCCCAGCAAGCTGATGAACCACGAGCTGCAGCACTACGGCCAAGGGGTGGACTTGAATATGACAAATACAATGAACTAGAAGTCAAATTTAAACTGATGTTATTTTAGAGTGTTTATCTGTGCTTGGGAATCAGATGGCACCCCGAGAACGAGCAGAGGAGGGGGAGAGCCATCCAAGCAGAATCACTGTCGGTAAGACGTGCCATCTCTCCTTCACCGCCAACAGTGTGGTCTAACACTATCCTTTTTATTATACTTTTCATGAACGAAGACATGGAAACGTAACTTATTTACAGTGGAGATGATCTAAACGTTTTCTTTGTTAGATGGGAATGAGACTCATTCCTTCAAAATATGCCCTGAAGTTGGTATGAAAAACCAGGCAGAAGGATTTCTGGTAAATATGAGATGGGAAAAAGACATATTTAGCCTATAAATAGAGGGAGTCGTTGGTTAAATGAATGAATGTTGAGTGAGGAAAATATTTCCTTAATAGTGTTGAAAGCAAAGCGGTGGAAACACTGTATCCACAGAGCACTAAGCAGACACGAAACGAAACCTCGGGGACACACTGATGATACAGCAGCAGGCCCTGCACCGGCCTAATGTCCATAATTTCATCTAAATGTCAGTAATGGAAAAAGATGCGGGGGAAGGAGGGTTAGGAGAAACATGTGCCCATCTGTGTTTCTTCATGTAACTCTGGGGATTCTCTATTAGTTACATAATAGCAGGCTCCGGTCTGTGACATGGAAGAAAAACGACCTACAACCATGATGTTTTCCATGCTGCGTCTGGGGTATGAAGTCTAGTCCAGAAGTCAAGCTCTTTGTCTTGTCACACTTATAAAACAGCAGGAACACTGGAAATTTCCTTCTCGTCCTTGGAATCAACTTGAGCCCCGGCTGCAACCCACTAGGGGACCCTGTTTTCTTCCTTTTTGTTCGCAGGGAACGTTCCTCCCCAAACACCCCGTCTGCTTACTGAGGCTCTGCTCTCTGGTGGGGGGTCCGAGACCTAAGCCGAGGGAAGGCTGTTTCCACTGGCATTTTCTAGCCCTTCTGCTCGCCGGTCTGAAACAGCCGCAGGCCAGAAACTGTGATTCCTGAACAGGGCTGAAAGGCTATTTACTTCGGCTGCACAGAGGGAAGTCATGTGCCAGAATCCATCAGTGGTTCTCCCTTTTCCTCATGCCGGACCCTCGAATACAGCTCCTCGCGTCGTCTGTGTGTGGGCGCGTCTGCGTGTGGGCGGACCCGCCTGGAGACGGATGGAGGGGCGGGGTCTCGGTTCCTGAGACCGTCGGGAATATGTGTTTTCCGATGGTCTTAGGCGACCCCTGTGAAAGGGTCATTGGACCCCCAAAGGGGCCGCGACCCACAGGTTGAGAACTGCTGCTTTAAATGGTTCAAGAAGGGCGGAGGCTAAGTCGCGCTCATGCCCGGGCTCTACGAACACCCCACGACTCCTGCAGCCACGCCCTGCGCCCAGTTCTGTTCCAGAGCTGCTGCTGCGCCAGCCGGACGTGGGACGTGCCCTGGCAGGTGGCCACGAGGCCCCTTCCTGTGAAACTCACCCGTGAATAGCAGACCCTTCTGGAATTTCATTCCCCATGTTCCTAGGTCAAAGGCAGCTGTAATAAGTCTTTATACCTATGCCAAAAAGCATTATATATATATATATATATATATATATATATATATATATATATGTGTGTGTGTGTGTGTGTGTGTGTGTAAAATGTAGTTTTCGCCTTGAGCTTCCTGGGAAATAAAATCCGTAACTTGACGTTGACCCGGGTCACACTGGGCGGCCTCGTCAGCATTCTCCTAGTGTTTCTGCTGGAGACCCGACGGGCCCCCTTGAGAAGGGCCCCCACCCATGGGGCCACACTTCTTCTGCGAGGATCGGAAGCCAGTGCCCAGCAGCTGATCAGGGAGTCCCCAGGCCTCACCAGGGCCAGGGTCTGACCCACCGTGCAGGCTTAGACACTAGCTTTCCACGCTGACAAAGAGCCGTCTGTCTGGGGGGGGGGTCACGGTAACCAAGTTCACAAGACCATGCGTAAAACCAGGAGAGTATTCATCTCAGCACAGGACGCTGGCTCCCGGGGAGAAACAACCGTCCGTCAGTGTGTCTGGGAGGGCGGGGTGATGGCCTCGGACCCGCCCTCGGAGTCCGCGGCCCGGGAAAGGGGTCAGAAGGAGGGACGCGGGGCTGGCGGGAGGCTCGGTGTACGGCCCAGTGCACCCTCTCGAGGACGCACACCAGCCGAGGACGCACACCAGCCGGGCGCCGGGAACCCTGGGACTGTCGGCCACAACCTGCAGCTCCCACGCCCCCGGAGCGATGGCCACGCCCTGTGCACGCTGACACGTCTCCACTCCGCACGAGGGCCCGGGCTGGGGACAGAGCCTGAGGGCACCTGTGTGGTCTTCCTGTTCTCAGGACGCTCCCCCGCCCTCCCTCCGAGGCCCTCTCCTCGATGAAACTACCGGCACGTCTGGAAGCCCAAACCCACTGGCGTTTCCAGCTCGTTTCCGTCCGAGCCTCCTCCGTGGCCTTTCCTTGAGAAGCGTAGCCCTTAGAAGACGTGCCCACGTCCTTCATCACCGAGTTCTCGGGGGACTGTGTTCGCAGTGCCCCCGGAATTCCCGGGCTGCTCTGAGCGGAACGCCGCGCGGCGAACCTTAGCGACGGGAGGCACCGGGGCAGCTTGCTGAGGGGCAGCCCTCCCGTGCCTGAGGGGCAGCCCTCCCGGGCCTGAGGGGCAGCCCTCCCGGGCCTGAGGGGCAGCCCTCCCGGGCCTGAGGGGCAGCCCTCCCGGGCCTGAGGGGCAGCCCTCCCGGGCCTGAGGGGCAGCCCTCCCGGGCCTGAGGGGCTGCCCTCCCGGGCCTGAGGGGCTGCCCTCCCGGGCCTGAGGGGCTGCCCTCCCGGGCCTGAGGGGCAGCCCTCCCGGGCCTGAGGGGCAGCCCTCCCGTGCCTGAGGGGCAGCCCTCCCGGGCCTGAGGGGCAGCCCTCCCGTGCCTGAGGGGCAGCCCTCCCGGGCCTGAGGGGCAGCCCTCCCGGGCCTGAGGGGCAGCCCTCCCGGGCCTGAGGGGCAGCCCTCCCGTGCCTGAGGGGCTGCCCTCCCGGGCCTGAGGGGCAGCCCTCCCGGGCCTGAGGGGCAGCCCTCCCGGGCCTGAGGGGCTGCCCTCCCGTGCCTGAGGGGCTGCCCTCCCGTGCCTGAGGGGCAGCCCTCCCGTGCCTGAGGGGCAGCCTTCCCGTGCCTGAGGGGCTGCCCTCCCGTGCCTGAGGGGCAGCCTTCCCGTGCCTGAGGGGCTGCCCTCCCGTGCCTGAGGGGCAGCCTTCCCGGGCCTGAGGGGCTGCCCTCCCGTGCCTGAGGGGCAGCCTTCCCGTGCCTGAGGGGCTGCCCTCCCGTGCCTGAGGGGCAGCCTTCCCGGGCCTGAGGGGCAGCCCTCCCGGGCCTGAGGGGCAGCCCTCCCGGGCCTGAGGGGCTGCCCTCCCGTGCCTGAGGGGCAGCCCTCCCGGGCCTGAGGGGCAGCCCTCCCGGGCCTGAGGGGCAGCCCTCCCGGGCCTGAGGGGCAGCCCTCCCGGGCCTGAGGGGCAGCCGTCCAGGCCTCGCTGGGCCCTCCGCTCCCGTGGGCGGGCTTTCTGCCTGGTTCAGGTTCACCCAGAGCAGCGGAGCGACTCACAAGTGCTTGTACGAGTGAATGAATACAACGTACCTCTAAACCACACATGCGAGAGAGAAAACTCGGACACCAAGAAGTGCGACTCTGAAACAGGGCACACTATCTAACTCTCAGTGTGTCATTCTTACACAAACATTGGGTTACAATAGGAGCGTAACGATTACAGAAACACATCACGGTTAACAAGCTACGTAACAAACGTCTTGTTATTTCCAAATCCTTTTCTCGCTTCGGTTTTTGTCTTTTACCCATTTTATCCTTTAAACGTACATTTGAAAGACAGACGTTTCTGGGAACACGTTTTTCCTTTTTCTTTGGTAAGGACAGCACAGAGGTTGGTGAAGGCTTACCTATCACTTTATTCTTCTTTCTGTTTTTTATAGGTGTACAAAGCAAACTTCTAATGCTCTGCTGGTTTGCGTTGCCTGTGTTTTCATTCTAAACAAAAACAAAAAACCAGCAACACGTTACAAAAAGACTGATTTGCCCACTAGATGCCATTATGTAAACCACATTGGGCATCTGAAACCACCAATAGTCATCTTTTATTGGCTGGAGCGACAGAGGGTAGAAAACGTACAAATTACAGTGACGTTCACATGAATGTAAAATAAAGCAACTAGTCTTTACATTATCCACAACAGTCAGTCAGTATCCTTGATTTCTTTTTTCCCCCTTTTAAATGTTCCCAGTGCTCACAGGACTAGCGTGCGCTCTACCGTGGGAGGAGCCCCAGGTGTCCAAGGAGGGGAGGGTGCCCCCAGCCCGGAACCGGGTTACACACCGGCCCCCTGGAGACACGACCACTGTTTCTAAGAGCTTTCCTACATACGAAATAACAACAGCAAGGCAGCTGCCTTAATCTGCCATACTTTTCTGAAATAAAATGAGAAAAATACCAGAACTCAAAGCTAAGGAGCTCGTCTTGTAGCCCTGCAGTCAAGGGAACACGTTCATTTTCCACAGAACTGCTCCACGCAGCAGGCCCCCCATTACTAACGTCAAGCCTCGTAAAGCTTAGTTCTTGAGGATGAACTCGAGAGCTCTAGAAATCCCATCTAAGGAACGTCCTTGACATCAAGTGGGTAAGATACATTACCTCAAAATTAGCTGAGGATAGTTCATGAGTACCTGTTTAAAGAGACTGATAAAAGTACCCAGAAACATGCGCCAGTATCGCGGCCCACCCCTCCCGGACGTTCAGAGCTCTTTTATCCCCTTCATCAGATCAGAAGGTACGATGGCCCCTCCATCACCAAGTCCAGGCCAGTCCTCCCGTGAAGGGTCCCTGTGGGCGCCTTTCTGGTGGGAAAACCGCCAAGTCGAACACGGGGTACTTACTGTCCAGGGGAATCTTTTGTCCTTAGTGACGTCCGGGATGTTGAGCCCTTCCATAGTGTTTTTGACGTACTGAGCGTACATGTAATTGATCCTGTTTGCGTCCCGTTCCCTGCGGAAACAAGGCCTGTGAGTTCTCTCCGGACAGAGCAGAACGAACAGCAGTTATGACGAGAGAGACAACCCCGTCTTAAATGGCAGGGCAAAGCAGACAGCTTAGAAAATACAGCTTCACACGTATTTGATGACCGACAGCTTTGGTAGGTACCATAATTGAAGCGATTTGAAAAGACCAAGACCCCCCATGTTTCAACTCTCTAAAACACGTTTTAAACGTCCTAAGTCCTGTCGCCGGCATTGCTAATGGGCATGCTGATTTTTGTGCTGTTTAATGTGAAATCCATCTGCATTTCCTCCCGTCTCATTTTTCATCAGATTACAGACGACGGAGCACCAGCCTGTCCTGCTTCCTCCATCATTCTCTCTGCACATCCGCCCGTCATCCTTCCACATTTCAACACAGGAGGCAAGTCGACAAGCCGGATGAACGTCACGAAGCGAGCTGCCGCCTCTTCTTTGTCCTCTGAGGTCTTTTATACCTTCTTAAGTTAAAAAGTCATCTTCCTCAAAACATTCTCTTCAACTGCAGGACATTTTCCCTGGTTTACTCCCACTTCTTGCTTGACAGGTTGAACGCAGAGGGGTGATCTGCAGCGCCGGGGCTGGGGGCGGGCAAAGGGCGCGTTTCCATCAGAAAGCGCCCCGTTCCCGGCGAGGGGCGGCCCGGGGGGTATGCCCACCCTCACTGTAAAACCACTGAAGACGAAGGAGGCCTAGCAGGGGGCATTTCTAAATGAAACACGCGCCTCAGGGGGAAGGTCCCCTTGTTCTGAGGCCCGAGGATGATGCTCTTCCCGTTCTCCGTCCTCCTCACCCAGAATGCCTTCTTGGACTGCTGCGGATGCTCGTGAGCCCCGGTGACTCCACGCAGACGCCCACAGGCGGCCTCATTCCCCACCATCTCCGTCTCTCTTTTCGGTGCATTTTAGCTGCAGTGGAACGTGCTCACATCGGGTACTGACCACGTGTCCCGTGTTACGTGCAAGGGAAAACCCACGGAGAGTCGGCCCAAAACCCTGGCTGGGCTCCCACTTCGTGCACATAATCTGGGTGGAATCCTGAGAAAAGCTGATGGGATAAGTGCGGGATTTAGGCTCGTAAAACAAATGTCACGAGTACGACAGGCAGCAAAGGTCTCGGGCGAGGAAAAGACGCGTTAGGAGAGATAAGACAAGTGCAGGGGGACAAAGAAGGACGTTGGGGGAGACACCCTGGTTCAGAGCCTTTAAAAATGATGCCACTGCTCATGGCTTTATCATTCTTGTCATCGTCCTGTCAACAGTGGGATGAAACCCAAAACGGTCAAGCAACTTGCCAGGGAGGATTAAAGCAGACTTAGAAGCGCGGACATCGAGAAGTAGAAACACTAACATTATAAATCAATAGAAACCCAGTTCTTCTGTAAATTCCCTGAAAACTTTCAGTTTTCCCACTAGTCACTCCCGGGAAAACGCACAGACTTATTGTGACGTGATTCTGTGGCGTGCTGAGACTCAGTCCCCTCGCCCAGCAAATACAGGTTGAGGACCTGCGGCCCGAGAGACACCGTCAGTGTCACGGGGAGACGAGCGCTCGTGGGGCAGTGACCATCGTGGGGCAGTGACCAGCTGACAGTCCAGAGACAGGAGCCGAGGTTTAGCTGCACGCATAGTCCCTCCATACCCTTTCCTGTCCCCCAGACACCGGCCCCAGAAGGGAGAAGTGGGGCTCAGCCACCTGCGGCTGGGTTTTGCCACGTGAGTCAGTTTGAGTCAACAGGACAAAAGAGAAAATGTGACCGCTTCCAGAAACCTCCGCCGAGAAACAGCTGCTGCATGTCTCTGCCCAGCCTGCTGTGTCCCCCACACCACCCTCTGACACAGGCAAGCTGGAGAGGCCCGGGCCCCGAGGGGAAGAGCCGTACCCTGGGGGGAGGGAGAAACCCCAGGCCGTGGGGTCCCGGAGGCCTTGGGGAGCCTGAGCTGCCCACCGGGGGCTTTTCCAGGACGGGAAACAGCTCTCCATTCCTGCTGGGGCTGCGGGGACTGGGGCTTGTCTGCTTGTCGAGCCTCCTCCTAACTGAGGCAGCAGATAAGAGGCAACAGCACACCGGTGGAGGAGACGGGCAGGCCGCACCTCCACGAGGGGGGAGGCAAGAGCTGCACGAGAGGCTGGGGAGGGGCGAAGGATGTGAAGAAAGACATCAGGAATGAAGTGGGGGTGGGGGGTATTCCAGGCAGGGAGGGAAACACCCAGAATAAAACACTGCTGAAATAAAGAGTTCCCCGTGCACCGGGAAAACGTTACATAATTACAGGTGGTTAGGAACAAAGCGATGGTTTCAGGCCGAAGAGTCATTAGGCGGAGAGAGCGGTGGATGCGTCTGCAAGTGCAATGCAAGGGAACAGGGTCTCAGTCCTGAGAGACAGGAACACGGTGGCCTTGGAAACGCGTCCGGGCTCCAGCTGCAGGAAGCGGCAGGACGAGGGCCAGGTCTGCACCGAGGCCACGCCAGCCAGCGTGGAACCAGGACGACTGGCCACAGCTGGGATTCCTCCCCAGCAGCCCGGCCCGCTCCCTCACCAGCGTCTGAGACGCTTCCACAGGCCCTCCGGGCCCCTCTCCCCTGGGTCAGCCCTGCGTGGCTCGCTCGGAGGGCTGCCCGGCCTCCCCGCTTCCTTCCCTCTTGATTCTCGCGGCGGTTTTCCCTCCTAAATGTCTGCGTGTTTAACCCAGTCTCAGCATCCGCTTCTGGGAGGACCCAGCTGTCTCACCAGGAGTCTAAGGCTTTTGTTGCTCAGTGGATACAGTCGGGGACACAGAGCTCGGAGACACTGAGACATGGAAGTTTCTGTGCTCAGAATGAACGGGAATCATGGCAGGCTGCGCAAGCCAACGACAGAAAGACACATTCGAGAGGGACAGAAACCACCGCGAGCAGAGAACTTGCCGCGTGCGGAGATATTCTGAAGCCTGTTGCATGCGTTACCTCGTTCAGTGCCGACTACAACCCTGCTATCGGCAGAAAGTGCCCCCCTTTCACAGGCGGAGAAACTGAGGCTCCCGGAGGCTCCAAAACTTACGCAAAGCCCTGGAGCTAGTGGGCGGTGCACTTAGATACAATGAGTCTGATTTCAGAGTCTCCACTCTCCACTCTGTATCCAGTTTGTTAAGCAGTGAAAACCTTTCACTATGTTTAAAGTAGTAGGTGTTACTGTATTCCACTAAAATTATGTTTCTAATATAATAATCATTAACAAGTATTAACCAGTATATACATTTCAAGAAAGTGAGTTTAAAGGATTAACCCTAGTAGGTATTGGTCATTTTAGGATTAAAAAGTGTGGATTTATAAATTCACATAAAATTATTCCAGAAATACAGCACTAAGAAACCTGTTTCTTACAACTAAGTTCCACACAAACTGTGCAGTATCACACTCATCTTTCCAGCTGCAGCACAGACACTGACCTCCCCTCCCCCCGCCGCCTGGAGGTGAGCTCCCTCCGAGTTCTCGGGGCTCCTCCCAGCCGCCGGCTGTGCTCCCCGCGCCCCGCGCCGGTCCAACGCTACAATCATGTGTCATGGGCACCCCGAGTGGTTTTTGCTTTTACACTTAACATTTAAAAACTGCCTTCAAGACATCATTTTAATTTATAAAAGATAAGTGGATTGGTTGGAAAAGTACCACATGATGGGCCAGGCTTTTAAACGGACACACAACTGCCTAACGAGTGATTTGCTCACCGCTAACATCTCCCTCTCCTTGAAGAGCTTTTGCACTAAGTGTTAATAATGAGAACCGGCAAGGCCTGGATTCTATCAATAAGCAATTTTAGGAAGATAATAAAGACATTGCTGGTGACCTGTGAGTACTGTCCTTTTTCAAAATGCAGATGCTATTATGCACCATTCTAATGCAGAGTTTTTGGGAAACTCAACCTCATATCTCATTTTTATTTATAAAAACATATTCCCATCATGAAGAGATCTTTAATTGCATCATTAGGATAATGGCTAAGTTTTAAATGTGTAGCAGAACTAAGGCATTACTGCTGCATAATTTTCACTGCTGTAAAATCAGTTAGTGAATCAGTTAAAATGATTCAGGCAAATTAGTCTCTTTTAAGGTAATTACACTGCAGTTATCTTTTGTAAACATATGACACTAAGACTGTTTTGAAGTGATTAAAAACATAAATGAAAAGATACCTGCATTTTGCTTACAGAAAGGGAATGTGGTATTCACCAAAACCAAATCAAATATAAAGACTTCCCTTTTCCAAAAAAAAAAAAGGAAAAGCATATTCACCAATAGGGGTCAGTATTACACCAAGTCACTGGGCTCCTTCAGCTATCACTACAAGGAATTAGAGGACCTGGCTGAACTGATACAAATCAAAATGCAAATACATAAAATATAATTACACATACATGCTGGTGCACAAGATTCAAAGGTAAATGTAAATAATGTACAATTTTATCCATTTAATATGCATTATCACACCAATTTCCTACCATGCCACAGATATATATAAATTGTTAAATATGCATTTTTATATTTGTATGTGTGTGTGTATACATATTCACTATTTATGCAAGCCAAAAATAAAATAGCTAAATATTAATATGTCTTATCTAGAAGCTTTCTAAAATGTTCTTTCTAAAAAGCAACAAAAATGTCATAGCATCATAAAATCACAATAACATGTATTGGTGCTCATCCTGAGAGTAAGAACTCCGCAGCTGATGGCAGTCCAGCCTGAACCCGCAGGTGGGAGGCAGAGGGGCAGAGGCACACACTCACCAGGACGTGGGCATATCACCACATGTTCAAAGGTACAGTGTCAACAGTGCCAGGAAACAGCCTGGGGCTTCGGAGAGGACCCACGTGGAGACCGGACTAACTTCAGAGCAGACCAGCAGTGCTGAGGGGGCCAGCAGGGCCAGCTCTTCAATTACTGCTACGTGAACTAAAACCTCTGGGGCAGGGTCCTCCGGGCAGGGACACCTGGTTTACCCACCTGGCACCCAGCTCAGCAGCGAAGGTCTGAGTCAGGGGTACCTCCTGAGTCCAGGAACGCCCCCTGTCCCAGTTACATCCTGTCCCTCCACTGAGTCCTATAATTCTTTTATTAGCAGAAAGGGCCTTTCCTTGTCCCATGCTGTTAGAGCAACTGTCCAGAAATAACGAGTTTTGATTTTAATACGATCCCTTAACAAACTTGCAACTTTACGTCGCTGTGGTCTAGTTTCTCATCCTGATGCGGGAACACCTCAGAAGACAGGAAGGTGTGAGCAGGTAAGGGGGAAAGAAGAAAGAACGGCCACTCCGTGCCGAGGGGGCTTCTGCAGCCTGGGTGACCGGGGCCAGCCAGGGGGTCGAAGCCAAAGCAGGCCTCGCGCTGTTCTGCAAGGCGGCTTCACTTGGGCTGCAGACACGAGTTATGTTTCGTTTTGTATCCAACTTAATTACAAGCATTTTCTGCCAAAGTTTTATGATGCATGTTTTGAAATACACAAAAATGTTGAAAGTACAATGAACAGACTGCTTCTGGATTCGACATCTGCTTAACATGTTGTCGCATCTGCTTTATCTGTGTATGTTTTTATTAAACTTCGCTCTATTTGCTTCTCTTTGGCTGAACCATTTTAAAGTTAGGTGCAACCCGGCCAGTGTGGCTCAGTGGACCTAGCATCATCTCATAGACTGAGAGGTCCCGGTTCGATTCCCGGTCAGGGCACAGGCCCTGGTTTCAGGCTGTATCCCCAGTAGGGGGCGTGCAGGAGGCAGCCATCAATGGTTTCTCTCTCACATCGATGTTTCTCTCTCTCTAAAAAAATCAATAAAAGCACATTTAACCCTGGCTGTTTTGGCTCAGGGGTTAGAGCGTCGGCCTGTGTTCCAGAGAGACCTGGGTTCAGTTCCCGCTAAGGGCATGTGCCTCGGTTGCAGTTTGTCCCTGGCCCTGGTTGGTCGTGCGGGTGGCAACCGCTCAATGTGTCCCTTTCACATTGATGTTTCTCTCTCTCTCTTCCTCTCTCTCCCTCCCACTCTATCTGAACAAAAAATGGAAGAATGTCCTCGGGCGAGGATAAAAGAAAAAAAGCACATTTAAAACATAAAATAAAAAAGTTAGGCCCTGGCCAGTTTGGCTCAGCGGTTAGAGCGTCGGCCTGCGGTCCGGAGAGACCCGGTTCGGTTCCCGCTAAGGGCACGTACTTCGGTTGCAGTTTGTCCCCGGCCCTGGTTGGTCGTGCGGGTTGCAAAAAAAAAAAAAAAAAAAAAAAAGTTAGGTGCAGACTTCCTAACATTTCATCCTTAAATATGTCCGCATAAAGCTCCTAAAAAGCAGAACGCTCTCCTGCTCACCACAATATCTTCCTAATGCCATAGAAAAGTGACAGAATTCCCCACCACCACTTAGTCCATATTCAAATTTCCAAACTCCAAAATGTCTCCGATGCTGTTTTGTTCTGTTTTGAAGCGGGACCTGCAGAGTGGCTGGCTGTCATGAGCACACCCTCCCTTCACTCCCCTCAGTTCCCCTGACTCTGAAGCGACCGGGCCACTTATCTTACGGAAGGTCCCACGGTCTAGATTTGCACAGAGGTTGTTGTCAAGGCAGGGCCACCCAGGTGCTCGGTCACAGACGATGGTACGTCACCCCCCCATGTGGACTAATGCTCTGATGAGCCCACTGTCATGAAAACAATCTGGAACTTTAATAGTAAATACTAAAGGGAAGCTAGTTCTCATTCCATGATCAGATTGGATGCATGATCAATAATTACTGGTAAAATCACTGGAAAAAAGTGAACAACGCATAATGTGAGAAGCAGCATCGTGGCCAAGAATTCCCGTCGCGCCCCGGCAAAGCGAGCGGCGCCAGTTTCGCTAGCGGTGCAGGAGGGGACGTGAACCGGCGTTTGGTAGTTGATCCTAAATCCTTTCCAACATTCTTCAGAAAGCACATGTAAACTTGGGACAATAACATCTACAACCTCCATCATATAAAAACAATCTGTCGCCCTGGCCAGTTTGGCTCAGCGGTTAGAGCGTCGGCCTGTGGTCCAGAGAGACCCGGGTTCGGTTCCCACTAAGGGCACGTACCTCGGTTGCAGTTTGTCCCCGGCCCTGGTTGGGTCGTGCGGGGGGCAACCACTCGATGTGTCCCTTTCACGTTGATGTCTCTCTCTCTCTCTCTTCCTCCCTCCCTCCCCATTCTATCTGAACAAAAATGAAAAAATGTCCTCAGGTAAGGATAAAAAAACAAACAAACAAAGAAACAAACAAGGAATATGAATTTAAGAATCATCAAAAATATGAAAAATCAATGAACAACAATAGAGATCTGATCTGAAGGCAGCCCCAGGGTCATGTGCCAGTGTGACTGGGACCACAGGCTCCCGTCTGGTATCCAATCTCCCCGGCCGATTCCACATCAGAGCCGACGGGCGGAAAAGTGTGTGCAGAAGCCTGTCAGATTTCCAGTGAGCCTCCAACACGCAATGAAAAATATCATCGAAATACAGTAGTCATAGCCTTAAAGGAGCCAGCTCAAAAAACACTGCTCCCGCCCTGGCCAGTTTGGCTCAGCAGTTAGAGCGTCGGCCTGCGGTCCGGAGAGACCCGGGTTTGGTTCCCGCTAAGGGCACGTACCTCGGTTGCAGTTTGTCCCCGGCCCTGGTTGGTCGTGCGGGTGGCAGCCACTCGATGTGTCCCTTCACGTCGATGTTTCTCTCTCTCTCTCCTTCCTCTCTCTCCCTCCCACTCTATCTGTACAAAAAATGGAAAAATATCCTCGGGTGAGGATAAAAAACAAAACAAAACAAAAACAAACACTGCTCCCAAGCCTTTGCTCACTGTGCGCGTTCACTCCATGGAAGAATTCCCAACTGGAGTAAAGACAAAAGAAAAACCCCCGAACCCTGGGACTTCATAACGTCAAGCGGTCAAGTATTTTCCCGAACTAAATTACTTGTGGGGAACAGAATAGTCAATCGCGTCTATGGCTTAACTTAAACGGGTCACGCAGCTATTTAGCCAGTTTTACATCCTTGGGAATTAAGACCGAGACTGTTCTCTTTACCTTGTTACAGTATCTGATGGCTGTTCTGGCTGCTCGCTCTCCATGTGAAACACACTGGAAAAGGAGTCCTGAAAACAGAGCGACAGCAGACCAGGGGGTAAGTTCAGTGAGGTCATAACAACCCTCCGCACACAGACGCACAAGTCTAAGGAGTGAGCGGCACCCGACGGGGGTGACCTTTGTGCTTACCGTGCGGGGGTGCTGGCCCAAGGACTCGCTTCGTGACATCCTGTTATTAAGAGCTATAGTTCCTATAGTTTCTGATCTTCACTTGTAAGAATACTTATTTGAGTACTATTTTTTTTTCTACTAGGTGTTAATAAATATGTTAGCTTCGAAATTTCCCTCTGTTTATTCAAAATCCTCACACTTTTGCTTTGGGGCAAACATTGATTGCTGCTGTTAGATCCCAGGTGAAGAATGTCATTGTAAAAAGACATATCGCTCGGTAATATTTTATGAGCTCATTAGAATAATCATGATGATTTTAGCAACATGGAGAAATATTGGTGAGGTTACATGGAAAAGCGGAGTATATCGGCAACCAAGCAATACTTACACCCGAACAAAGAATCGGAAGGACACAGAAAGAAAACGATGACAGCCCTGGCCGGTTTGGCTCAGCGGTTAGAGCGTCGGCCTGCGGTCCGGAGAGACCCGGGTTCGGTTCCCGCTAAGGGCATGTGCTTCGGTTGCAGTTTGTCCCCGGCCCTGGTTGGTCGTGCGGGTGGCAGCCACTCGATGTGTCCCTTCACGTCGATGTTTCTCTCTCTCTCTCCCTCCCACTCTATCTGTACAAAAAATGGAAAAATATCCTCGGGTGAGGATAAAAAAAAAAAAAAAAAAAAACGATGATATTCGTTTAACGTGGGGACCGAAGAGTGAGCACACATTTTTTTCTTCTCGTTTACACTTTGATTTTGGCTCACATTGTTGAAATACTTTTAATCAGTAAAGAATTGCAATATAAGTGAAGTCACCGAATTCCTTTACTAAACCAACAACTGAAGGCGTTGAAAGTGAGCACACTGGCATCTTGCTGGGCACGACCTCAAAGCCCCGCTGAACGACATCAGATGCGGCCAGGGCAGGGTTAACCGGGAAGCAGGAGCCGACTGCCAACTGGAGCGGCATGTACGCTGTCTACAGACGGAGGGCCTCGTGAGTAACTTCTGGAAATTAAATGCTGAAGAGCAGGTCACAGGGGAAACCTAAGTTATCACTGCATTAATGAGTTCTGGCCTGAACTTGAACAGGACAGCTACTACCTTGTGACCATCTCTACAGTCAAGATTTTATACCTGATTGGACATATGAAGTGGTATCTATGAGAATACTGAGCTCCTAATTGATATCCCATTAATGAGAATCACACACACACACACACACTGATTTAGATAAAGTTGGGTCACACAGTACAGTCTTACTACCTAAAACAATTAAACATTTTAAATATGAATGATTACATTTCTTTTATTCTACGTCTCCCTCAAGAAACAGTAACCCCGATATCACACGTGGACTATAGCCGATGGATGCAAGTGGCAACCCTCACTCTCTTTCCATTAACCACCAGTCAGGAGCCTATTCTTAGGGTCTAAAGGAAAAAGAAAATAAAAAACTGCCTAAAACAGGAATCTCCCAGAAGCAGTGGTTCACAGGTTGAGACGGGAAAGAACCTGCCTCTGGGTAGGGGCCCCGGTTCTAACGGCAAACCCAGCGGGCCCACCTAGAAGTGACCAGCACGCCATGAAAACAGCCTTTCCACACACCTCCGCGTCGACACGTTACAAATCAGTGGGTCGAAATCTACCAGCTGGAACAGCTTGGTGGTTTCCCATTGCTGGTAAAGGACTGGGGACTCATAGGCGGCTTTAATAACATTACCTCGATGGGGCCAGGCCTTCTGGTTTTTAAATGATTAAAAGAAAATTTGCTACCCAGCCCATTCAGAATGGGGTCTACCTGCTTCTAGCAGCCAGGACACCGCCAGTCCTGACCAGGGAAGGTCGGCACTGTAACAACAACGTATTCTCCATCAGGGCGTGGTGCTCCGAGCACAGCGACCTGCTGTGGTGACAGCTCAGAGGGACACGGAAGGCGCCCTCCAGCCCCACCGCTGGCCTTCAACTGGGACCGCTCACCCTGTCATCGGCTCCACGTGAACAACCACACAGGGCCTGAGAGAGGGTTCGAGGCTAACACGGGGTTTAAAAGCAGGGCTCCGAGGAACAGACGTTTCTGTCTTTCTGAAAACAAAACGCCATCGGTACTCACGGAGCAGTCTTCGTCCACGATGAAGATGGTACACTTCTGCACTTGCATGAAAGAGATGATCGTGGCCGCGATCTTCTTCAGGATGACCTCCAACGACTGCTGCTCTTCAAAAATTAAGCTGGCCAGGTCGAGCAGCACCTAGACAATAAAAACGATAATAATAACAAAAAAGAAAAATCAAGGGCTTACTACTTAGTAATTGTTTACGATCACTAAATCAATATCATGCTTTATGTGAGTTATACGTTTTTCTATATATTTAATCTAACAAGTTATGACCAAGTTTGCATTCAAGTGGTACATATGTAAGTCTGCTGGCTAACAGCACTTCATGTCAGTCGTTATTATTGTTAGTTCAGCGGTTCGATCACACGCTGAACCCAGGCCCATCAGACTTTACTCCTGACTTCCCTTCCCCGCCAGCTTGTGACGTAGGGTGGATTTCTTGGAGATGGGGATAACAGTAGTACCGAAATCACAGCAATATTGTAAGAACTAAATAATCTAACGTTTATAAGGCATTCTGAACAGTACCTGATGCATAAAGCACCATCGATAAATAGTAAATGTTTATTAACATCTATCAGTATTTTCACAGAGCACAGCATAAATATTGTCCAAAGTCAACAAAGCATTAAGAGTTCTTTTTGTGATTTTCCTGGTAATTTCTCTTTTTGTTGAGTTCCACAGAATTCCTTTTAACATCACAGAGAATTTGTGTGATGAGGGGTTGGAAAGGGTATTACAGCAAAGTTATTGGAGGGGATACTATCTTAGTCAAGGCGTGAAAGATGAGTAGGAATCATTCAGGAGAAGCAGGGAAGGGGAAGATTTCAATCCAAAAGAACTGAATTGAGCCCAGCTGGTGTGGCTCACTGGCTGAGTGTCGACCCTGCACCAAGACCACTGGTTCAATTCCCGGTCAGGGCACATGCCCAGGCTGTGGGCCAGATCCCCAGTGGGGGGCGTGCAGGAGGTGGCCAGTTGATGTTCTTTCTCATCACTGTTTCTATCTCTCTCTCAAATCAATAAATAAAAAAATTTAAAAAAAAAAAAAAAGGAACTGAATTGAGAGAGAGTCGCATACTACAAACTGGGGTCGAGGTTCGTGTGTGCAGAGTATAGGAGGAGAGCTGCGGAAATGAGGTTGCACAGTGAAGCAGAGAAAGAACCCCAAAGCCCTGGACGCCTCTTGAAGCAGTTTGGACAGTGACGGACTGCAGGAAGGAAGTGACCAGATCACAGCTGTGTTCGTAAAAATAGGAACTGGACGCATGGATGACAAGAACAGAGCATAGGAACATTAGGGAGATACTGCAGTTGAAGGCAATGGGAGGTCCAATATCTTAGTAACACAAGTTGGAAAAAGAAAACAATAGAGAGCAGGGGAGATGAAATATCAAAGAAATAATGAAAAAGATTCACACAAAACGGAAGGGCCTAAGTCTCCAGACTGAAAGGATGTCCAGGTATCAGCCTGATTAATTAAAAGGAAAAAGAAAAGTCATACTGTGAAATTAAGTTACCAAAGAATGTAGAAATAATCCAAAAAGCTTCCAGACATTTAAAAAAATCTACAAAGAGCCAAGAATCAGAACTACACGAATGCTGGTTAGAAGACAAAGCACTGCCTTTGTTTGTTTGTTTTGAGGATTTTATACCCAGCCAAACTGGCAAGGATGGTACAATAGACATTTTCATACATGCAAAGACTCGGAAAGCTTGCCTCACCACTGCCCTTACTCAAGGAGTTAATAGAGAATGTGCTGCAATAAAACAAGAGCATGAACGGAGAAAGAGGTACAGGACCAGGTGGTTAGCAGAGGACCCCCTCAAAGACAGGAGTGAAGGAAAGTTCTGTGCTGACATCTGTGCAGCAGCTGTGGGGTGAAACAGTTTGTCTTGGAAGAGGCAAGATGGAAAACATCAATTTGAAGATCTCCAAGAAAAATAACTCAACAGAATTCCTAAATAATGGAGAGTCTTGGGGTGGGAGGAACAACAGTATGAGATTACTCCAGAGCCAACAGTTCAAGGGAAAATGAAATGGAATTCGGAGACATTCAGAAAAACTAATATAAACAACATTTTCACAGTCACGGTACTTATAAATACCGTACTTGAAATCGCAACTTTGGAATTCACCTAGACAAAAGGTTAAGAAATGTTAATCATGGTTGTGGACAATATATATGTTATCCACGTGGGCAACAAAAAAGAAACAGTCCAAATGGGAAAGCAGAGGTAAGGGGTCAGGGTTGGGAAGGAGAGACGAGAGAGGCTGAGGTCCTCGTCTTATGAAGCATGAAATCAAGAGATCATGTCTGTAGTTGACAGAGCAAGAACTGAAAGTCTTATTTAATATTACAAATGCAACCCACCCAATAACTCAAAACAGTGGCATGATATTGGTAGGCTAAGGGTCATACAAACCAAGGGTGGTGTAAGCCAAATAAATCCTTATCTGCTACATTAGTAAATAGGGTCTAACAGTTATGAACATGGGAAATGGCAAATGGAAATAACTACTAGAAGAAACAACTAAAATATTTAGAAACAGAATCTGTACTATCTGGATTTTCAACCATACACATATATTGGATAAAAATTATACACATATATTAGATAAAAATCACATGCATATATGAGATAAAGATTTAACAAATCTTTAAAAAGAATTTCTGTATTCGCTCTCTAGTCATCAGACTTGCCTGATTTCTCCTGTTCTCCAGCAGCGAAGTCTCATAGAGTTGGGCATTATGAAGAACAATACCACAAAATGCCAGGTAAGCAGCAAAATCCTAGAAAACAGGCAAGACAACACCCAATAAGAATTGTCTATAAAACTGTCTTGTTTGGTTGCCTGAAACACAACAGGCATCCAAAGTTATTTAGAGTTGAAGTAAATATGAGAAGGCCCAAAGTGTAGATGTTTATTCTTCTACATAATATTAGAAAGCAATGCAGAGCAGGTGTGGGCGCAATGGCACCCCTCGTGGATGACAAGCGTTAACACAGCCTCTTATGTCCCACATCAGGTGGAAAGGAACAAGGAGAAGGAGGGGTGGGAAGAAGACACCCCTCCTTATGTCACTGGACATTGAAATGCGCTCCGTGCAGCAGCTCAGTGTGGTCTCTGGGTGACATTAAGACTTGGACCCATGCCGAGAAGACAGAGATAGCTTGTAACTCACTCCTGGGGCCAACAAAGCTCACACGCTTGTTAAGACAACACCAGCAATAACACTCCCATGTAAAGTTGCAAATCTTAGTTGAATTATGGCTTTTTTTTTTTTTTTTTAATCCTCACCTGAGGGTATTTTTCCATTTTTTGTACAGATAGAGAGGGAGGGAGAGAGAGGAAGGGAGAGAGAGAGAGAAACATCGATGTGAAGGGACACATCGAGTGGCTGCCACCCGCACGACCAACCAGGGCCGGGGACAAACTGCAACTGAAGTACATGCCCTTAGCGGGAACCGAACCCGGGTCTCTCCGGACCGCAGGCCGACACTCTAACCGCTGAGCCAAACTGGCCAGGGCTTGAATTATGACCTTTTTAATAGGTATCTATCATCCTCCCTGTGCTCTACTCAGGGGATGTGCTCACCGTTATCTTGATTGTTGACTAAAATAAAGCTTTGAGTGGCACCTGCTTGATCCACAGCCGTGGATTTATTTGGCCGAGAGGTGACACAGCTGAAGGATGCCAATCTGTCCAGGGGGGTTCACGTGAACGGACTATCAACACAGTGGAGTGCAAAGCGGATCCAGAGCCACGTTCCCCCCAAGCACCCCCAGGCGGCACTGACAGGCAGAGCAGACGTCTACGACCCTGATTTCCAAGGTGCTTGCTGTGTTCTGAAGCAATTAAGGCACGGAGGCCGCACCAGGGCCAATAGGGTGACGGGACGGAGACAGAAATCACCGTCTCGTCTGAATGTCTCCAAAGTCTCCTACTATTTTCGGGAGAGAGACATGACTAGCAATGGGCCTGAGTGGGAAGCGTCCAGTGGGCCCCCTGAAATGCACATGATCACACCTTCGGGAAGAGGAACGGTAAACCCCACGACAGAAGGCGCCTGGGAACAGGTGCGAGGGCTGCTGTCCTTGTACGGGCACGTGGATGTGCGTGGCGCGTGCGCCCTCTAGCGGGACGAGAGGGCCACGGAGCCATGCTCACAGCCGCTCTCGGGAGCCCACTTCATACCACCCAGCCGGATTCACACCTTGGTGCCCGCTGTCTGGGCGAAGCTTCTAAAACATTCTGAACGTGCCTTCCCCAGGAGGGCAGTTCCCACTCGCAGCCGAGCTGGAGGGCTGAGCCCGGAGGGAGGACTGCTTAGGGGTTTACTCCAGGTCGAGTTTCTTCACAGCAGTGATGGAAGTTCAGTGAGCGGATCAGAAGTCCATGGCAGCCCCTGCAAGGGCCTAACACGCACCCGTGTGCATGCACACACACACACACACACACACACACACACAGACACAGACACAGACACAGACACACACACAGACACAGCCCGGGGGAGGCGGGGCCGCACGGGGAGGGGCTGGGCCAAATGCAGACGGACAGAACCACAGTCCACAGTCGAGCCAGCCCTGCATCGGCCCAGGGAACACTTGTCTGGCCACATCAAATCACTTGAATGTGCTTTGTGTGTGTGATCAACCGTTTCAGCAACAGCTAATTCTGAAGGTGCAGACACCCCAAAGGGAAAGCATCTTCCCGAAGAGACATCGCGCCGGACATGAGTGTTGGTACCTTTTCGTCTTTTTCAGTGAATGTTCCACCATTGCCGGATTTCTTGTTGATGGCCTGGGCTACCCCAACAACCTGGTGTAAGGAGAGAAAAGTGGTCAGTTCACTGATCAAAGTTACTGGTTCACCACAGTGTGTTTACAGCAGAAGTTCTACATGTGCTTTCGAGGAGTGATAGGCTACAGAACCAAAACCAGCCCTTCAGCAACTCAGTTCCGCAGCATCTGCTACAGTCTTGCTTCCCAACAGGAGTCGAAGGTTTTTAACTTCCTGGGGCCCGACCCTGTCTGACTCTGTGGCCTCACCTGGCATCGTGAAAGACGTTATTGGCAATCACATCTCAAGTGAATATTTTTCATGGTTTTCAACAAGAAACACAAAATTTTTCTCTATCACATTTCAAATAAAATGCAGGGTAAAAATGAAGACTTTATAGGGGTTAGATATTTCAAACAGGTTACATGCTCTCTTGAGAAAATGAAACGGGACCCAGGGGCCAATCACAGAAGTTAAAATGCATGAGGACCAGGGTGAAAATAATTCCTGATGTAGGAACACAGTCCAACGTCTTCTGAAATGCCTGACCTTGGAAATCGTTTTACTTTCAACAGGCTTTTTTTGGGGGAAAGAGGTCTGATTGAAAAATCAGAACAGGAATGACCAGACCAAGCTTTACTTCAAATGGACCAGAAGCCTGGAAGGTAACTGGATCCTCAGAAGACGGGCTACCCTCCGGGGACACGTCTTAGGTTTCCACAAAAGATCTGGCAAGACTTTCGGAACCGGCTCGTCTTTCGGCCTGGAAGTGTGTTTCACTCACCTATCTGGTTCCAACTTCAGTGGGCTATCATCTCCGTCGTCAGAACCTACAACCCCGCCTGTCGCCACCTCTTCCCACCGACACTTTCCACGGCTAATCTTTCTGCAAATGAGTCCCGGGGAAGGAGCTATTCTCCCCTCCGAGGTCACACTCTGGGAAGTTCTCAGTCTGTGTGGATGGTTCACCCTGGTTACCTCAGCTCACTAGTCCCTCAGCTGCAAGAAAAGGAAGTGAAATCCTCTCTAGAGAAGCAGAATGAGGGGGAAATGCATCCCTGCCCTGACCGGTTTGGCTCAGCGGTTAGAGCGCCGGCCCGCGGACCAGGGAGTCCTGGGTTCGGTTCCCACTAAGGGTACGTAACTCCGTTGTGGTTTGTCCCTGGCCCTGGTCGGGGTTGTGCAGGTGGCAACCAGTCGATGTGTCTCTCTTACATCAATGTTTCTCTCTCTCTCTCTTCCTCCCTCTCTCCCTTCCACTCTGACTGAAGATAAATGCAAAAATGTCCTCTGGGGAGGATAAAAAAAGGGGAGGGGAATGCATTCTTGTTGGATGCAGTTTTCTGAAGGGACATTCATAATAATAGTAATAAAAGCAAAATTATACAATTATCCTGTACCCTTTTATTGTCCTTAGTTCAACTCTTTAGCTCCTGAAAATGGCGAACAGACTTCTGGCTGCTCCTGTCTCAGAGACTAAATGCTCACACAAGGCTTGGTGTACGTGAAGAGGTCTGGATGGGGGCTCGCCTGTTCACGGGGTCCCTGGAGGGCACCGGGTGTAGGAGAGAGCGGCACCTCCATCCCCGGCTGCTGTCAGTGGTCCCGCATCCCCTCCGCAGCGGCTGGGGTGCCACTGTGCACCAAGGAGCTCAGACCCAAGAATGGGTGACACGTGACGGTGTGATGACACAGGTGCCCCCCGACGGCTCACCGCACAGAGGGGACACCTAATGTGGGAAAAGGGGAAGGCGTCTCAGGAGATGCTTTTATTTGTCTCGTATAAATGGTTTATAAGAGGAAGATGAGCCACAGCAGACAGAGAGGTTCTCAGGCAGACCTTCCCGGAGGCGGTACAGCCTGGGGACGCGCGTGGATGTGCGGGTGTACCCGGACCTGTGACCAGGGCCGGACGCGCAGAAGAAAGGAATGTTCGGCTGCTCGGACACGAGAGGACAGAAAGCCAGTTGCTCCTTACAGGCCAGTGGTCGACTCGGTCAGCGTCTCAGTCCATCATGATGTCACCATGAATTGACAGAGATGAGTTTCTTTCAAAGTCTCACAAGAAAAGAGGAAAACCAGCCGCACGTTGTACATTCTAGGACGGGGATGAGGTGGTGGTTTAGGTTACCCCAGGGACTCCCTGGAGGGGGCTGGTGCAGGCCAGTGGGCTGGCTGGGGCCCCCAGCTGCAGACTACACGTCCCCCTTCCCAGTCAGTGACCCAGGAGCCCATCGGGTGTCTCTGGGCGTTTGGGAGGAGCTGCCAGGGCAGCGGTGACCCCGAGCGTCAGTCTCCACTGGAAAAGAGAAGCGGCGCGTGGCCAGCCCCGGGGGTCAGCAGCCGTTTGCCTCCACGCCGGCAGGGGATGCTCGGTCCCGCCTCTGCAGACCCCGGGGGACGGCTTCCGGGCTCACTCTTCGCTGAAACCTCTTTCCAGACTTTAACCGCGTTTCAAACTGTGTGTGCACACTCAGGAACATTTACGGGCGAGCGTTTTTCTAACTGTGTTCTCCGTGGTTAAAAAAAACAATGTCCCGAATCCTGCTCACTCTTTGGCAAAAACAACCACTTTCCATTTCTAGAACTTCTGTTTCTCTTTTCTGCCGACGCCTCCTCCTCCTCCTTTTCCTTCTCTGTTAAACCCTCGTGCCCGTTGTCCCTCACCTCCTTAGACAGACTCAGTTTGATTGTGGCTTCGACCTCAGCAGGGGCTGTTCCCCCTAGGAGGGCGGGTCCCCGAGCCACGAGGTGTCCACGCAGCCCTCCACTGCCTCCCGTGTGAGCTGACTCCCCCGTGTGTGGCTGGTCTCAGTCCCGGCCTCACCTGCCTGGGCTGCGACCCTCAGAATTCATGTCACTGTCCCCACCCTCAGACCTCCGAGCGCCCCTCTGGCCTTTGGCCACTCAGGTTTCTCGCCCGGGGAATTTCTCCGTCTGACACCTGCCTTTGCCCTTTCTTAAGCCCATCGGTAATTTTTAAAATTGTGTCTTCTATTGTCTGCAGAATGGGGGCTATGGTTCTGCATCTGCACAGTCGGGCGGACTGAGCGGAAGTCTTGCCCACAGGCTTCACACCCACTTTGCAGGGCCTGAGTGCCAGGTCCCTGTACAGTTCATCTGACCCCCCACCCCCAAGTCAGCGCAAGATATTATCATCAGGTAAGTTCACCGCACGAGGACATCCCTCGGTGAACTGTGCATCCTTTCTGGTAACCAACTATTTATCAGATACGTTACGGACTTAGGTATTCGAGGTCCATTTGTTTAAGGGATGATGAATGAAATATCATAGATATTTTTTTAAAAAAACAGGCAAGTTCTTTCAAGAGACTATTAGACCAGAGAACTCTAACACTTCTCTGGGCCCCGTCCCGAGATGGGCCGCATGTTAAAAGAGCCCCGACAGAACCCGCAGATAAAAATAGGACACGAAGTACAGCGTTTGTCCAAGGTCACACGGAAGAGCACAGACAAAAAAGGTTCGTTCTCCAAACATCAAGGAGCCTGTGCAAAACGAGCACCGTGTTGATGTGAAGACTTTCCTTTCTCGGGCATCTATTGCTCCTTCCAGCAGATTAGTTCGTTTTCCTCCAGCCAAGAACCTGGTAGCCACAGGCTCTCTGTGGATCCGTCTGCACAGACAGCTTTGCCGGCAAGTGTCTGTCAGACCTCATGTCGGAGAGGCAAACCCCCAAGGACGCCAGCCCCAGGCCTGGCCGGCGCTCCGGGGCTGGGCACCTGTGTGCGCCGAGGGCTGGCTGCCTGAGGTCGGAGCAATGCCGAGGTTTCGGGCTCTCTCTCCCCTCGCCCTTCTTCCCGCTCTAGAAATTAATGTAAAGAATATTTTTTAAACGTCAGTTTCCATAGGAAGTCCATCACGCCTGCCTCCCTGCCGGCTGCCCACGGAACCCTCAAATACCGACACTGATGCTACGTGTGTTTGGTTTCGTTTTCGTTTTTTAAGCAGAAGGAGCTTCTCTGTTTTCTGATTAACCGGCGCTTCTCCTGGCATAGTGGGTATCACGCCCTCACGGGTCGCGTGTTCTTCAGGAATGCCAAGGGTAAGCCTGGACAGCTGGCCCGTCCGGGGCCGCCAACCGAGGCCGCGGTGAGTTCTCCCCCCGCCGGCAGGTACCCAGATCCTCGCCGAGGCCACGCATCAGTCCAGTCACGCCCCCTGTTCTCAGGGCACTGGGCATGGAGCGAAGAGCAAGGCGACCAGGACCGGACAGCTCGTCAGCCACCCTCTCACCCCCGACGGTCTCGCCACACCGTCCGGATTCTGGAGCATCTGGGAGCCAAGCCGGGGACCGTCCTTCCCCCATGCTCCCTGGGCACAGTCGTTCCTTCCAAAACAGACACAAGTGAGGACCGAGCGCCGACCAGGTACCGGCACCGTTTTACACGACGATGACAGGCGGGCCCGGGACAGACGCCGGTGCCCTGGAGGGGGCACTGCCAGAGTGTTAGGCTCAGGAGGGAGCCCCCCACCCCCCTCCACCCCGTCTGTACAGACACACAAACAGAAGGTGAGGGCTGATGTGCCCAACCCCGGCCGTCCACCTCTCTTCCAAACCCCAGGCAGAATCATGGGCATATTCGACGCAGTAGGCAAATACTCACAGTCCCAGATGTGCCCTCATCCTAAACCCTGGAACCTGGGAATACGTCACCTTAAATGGCTAAAGGGACCTTGCAGATGTGGTTGAGGGCGTGGAGACGGGGGACAGAGCGTCCCGAGTCACCAGGTGGGCCTCGTCCCAGGGACGGGAAGGTCCGCGCAGGTATGCGTGGGGGAAGAGCCCCCAGCTGAGGGTCGCCGCCTGGGGCATGCAGGAGAGCCGTTCCTCCCGGGACTGCACCCGGGAACACTGCCCACTGCACCGGGGTCGGCCCAGTGAGAACTCGTTTGAACTCTGGCCTCCAAAACCATAAGATGGCACATGGGTGCTGACGTGAGGTGCGGCATTCCTGGTAGATTTAAAAAAAAATTTTTCCCCCTTTATTGATTTTAGAGAGGAAGGGAGAGGGAGAGA